ACTGGTTGTCCCATGAGCCCAGCAGGAACCACAATACTGAGGAATGTGCTGATTTCTTGTAGTACTAGCAAAGTTGACGCCATTCATGTTTCTCCAGTCATAGGATTCTGGAAGTTTGCTCATGTCCAAGTATTCATGTGGTCTTTTGGTTTTTCTAAATAAAAAAATATACAAACACAAATAAGGTTATGTTAATACAGTTGTAACTTATATCTTACAAAACGTATTTTCCTCTCCTGAATGCAATCTAAAAAAAACTTACATAACTTCTTTGATGTCTTTGTCGTACGATGGCTTGTAGCAAGGCTCGTTCCGGTAGGATGGCTTGTTAGGAACACCATAGCACACACCAACCAACAATAAAAGACCAAAGAATACTATTAGCTTCATCTTGAATCTTGAATATAATATAAGTTTGCAAAGTTTATACTTCGGAAATGCTGAACATCACGCAAGTCACGAGGACTGACAAAGTAGCCAATCAGAAATCTTGTTATATATCACGTCTGCCAACTTGTACCCAGTCCTCAGTACCTCTTCATAAACAAAGTSCATGATTTAGAAGCAGGAAAAGTTCGAATTATGCATTTGTTGGGGTTAAAGTACAGAAACATTTATGCATAAGCAACGAGATACTCTTTTTGATTCCTTTGACAATATTCTTATTCAGAAAAAAACGTCCCCTTAACTGAAATCATAGTTGTTTGACATGTTTATGATTGTCAAGCGGTGACAAATTGACTCTTTGGGTAAGTAAGCTTATATAAAGTTGTGRCATTGCTGACCTTCTTTCTATCTTCTATCGATCTTCTATTCAAAGTTCAACAGTGTGTTCAAAGTTTCATGCTTAAATATTGTTTATTTCAGATTTATCCTAACAGTGAAGCTATAATCACTTGAAGTTTGACATCATGAAAGCAATTCTCATCATWAGTTCTTTACCAGACATTCTATTCATCTGGGAAGATAAGGAGTTTGCAAGGCATATAAATAAAGTATTGTTTCAAGCAAGCTATATTGATGACAGACAAGATATGTCAACACTAGACCATAGTGCAATGGCACAGTATTTCTCTCCAATGATTGCATCACTGACATATATGAATGGCGTGGGGAACCCATACTCATCAATAACCTGTAAAGATGGTACTATATTCATCTTTCAACAGGTATTGCAAAGTTGTAATAATTGTTGTTATTTCTCAATATTGAAATGTAAAAAGATTTGTATCTTGCAGTTTCAGTTATCTTTCATCAAACAAACAGTTTACTGTGTGATCTCTTATTTATTATTTATTTATTTATTTATTTATTTATTTATTTATTTATCAAATACAGCCTGCCCCTCACAAACGAGGATTATTGAAGATTCCTGTGCATCTATGACCAGTGAGCATGCAATAATAGAAATCTTCATCCACCATCATCTATAGACAATTATTCACTGTTAGCTATCATTGCAAGCTCACTAGCTGCTTGGATACAAGGCATATGGTTATCTTCCAAAACTGTGTTTTAAACATTCACTAAAGAAAAGTATGTTTGAGTGATATGGTGTCAAAGACCACACTCACTGTCTGCTATCAGTTGTACTAAGGGCCTGGCTGATGAATCTTTCGATCTTCCCTTCTCTCATTTTGTTTTACAGTATAATGGGATGACCTTTGTGGCCATTAATGGAGGTAAAGACGAGTCAGAAGACTTCTTGAAGAGAAAGTTAACTGTTGTACATCGGTTAGCTGTCATGCATTATGGAGCTTCTTTAGAACTTCTTAAAGTAGAGGTACCATCRGCTCGTAAGAAAGCCTGGCAGTCTTTTGGTCAACTGATTGATGCATGGCATCTATTGTACACAAAGCAACAGAGCTTTCTTGTTGAGGTGAGATTATGATAGCTATGAAAACTTTGCTAGTTCAACAATTGTCATCCTTCATTTGTCATCCTTCATTTTCAAGAAAAGTGCAGTACATAGTCAACCAAATCAAATTTGTTTTTGTAGGCAATAGAGCTTATTCAAGTCAATCAATCCCTTAGTGAAATGGCTGTAGCTTTACTACGTGAAGCTGTTGTGGCAACAGTAAAGAATAAAAATGAACAGAGTGCAGTCCATGGCTTATTACTAGTGAATGCAAAACTGTTTGGTTTATATTCAAGGTATTTTATACATCCAAATTACCTGTCCTATTGTCCTATAGACAAGTACTATTCCTGTTAATAACTGATAATTATTTATTCTYACAAAATTCTTCTTGTACTTTAATGGCATTGGATTTCTGATCAATATCTTTTCATTATATTTCAGTCGCAATTCATCAGAACTTCAAGCTTCTGACGTCCTCATGATWACTGTCATTGTACAAAAAATCTTCCCACATTGTTCTCATGCCATCCCGTCATCTAGTCCCAGGGCYCCTCCACCTCTAACTAACTGCGTTTTGAATGGAGGGCCTTCCATGTCTCRTGGCATTGTGAACGGTACCCTACCTAAGWCCCATCATCATGCATCTTCAACTCCAATAGCCATCAATGGGGCAAGAGATCARGGTAGACAAAGTAGCTGCTCTTCAAATGAAGAGAGGTTTTACTCACCACCCTCCACCCCCCCAAATGATGTTTTGAAACCCATGACAGAAGAAGTGTTTTTCTCACCAAAAGAAGGCTCACCAAAAATGCCTGAGGTAAGAAAGTTGTTAGTAATAATACCAGAAATTCCATTATTTGAATTATACAACCTTTTAGAGCAAACCCCTGTAATAGAATTTGTAATATTATAGTAATTATCCATTAGTCCTAAACGTTAATGGTGGATGCTTCTTGTTCAGGAAAATTGTGCTCCAAAACAAGCTACCAATTCTGAAAGTGATTCTAACAGCTCAGGAGAGTCTARGGAGGTTAAAAATGAATACTTCAAACAGCTAATTTTCTTGAATACATTGCAATGTCCATACACACCTCAYGTGCTGCACCTTGTGCACATTGCTACTGGTATTGTGYTGGTTATTGTCAGYGAGGTAAGGAATGCATAGGATAAATAAAAGAACGAAACAACAATTGAAGYAACAGATTGATAGATATGTCAATAAATGAACAGGAGAATAGATAAATGGGATAAATAAATGGATGGTTGAGTGAAAAAAAAGACGAATAAATTTATGATTGATTGATTACTGGAGTGGTTGAATAAACAAAAGAATAAACAAATGGATACTTGAGTCGGTGGTGTGAATTATAAATGATAACATGAATGTATTGGGAATGATTGAATGGGTTGATGTTATAATTCACTATTTATTACGTTATTCAAGGTTAAGTACAGCCCAATTGCAGTGTCAATTTACAATGTCCTAAGTGTATTATCGCAACTAGAATCTGACGACAAAAAAGCAACACCACAACAAGCAAGTTCTACCATTGAGAGATTGGATATGGACGTCAGAAAAGTWACTGAAACGCTGAAGAATGCAGTGGGGGTGAGTATGCGACGGACCGATGATCATCATTAGTGCATGCATTTAGGAACAATTTGTGGAAGCTAAAACATTTGGCCAATAGGATGGTAAACAGTRGGAATACTTGCAGAGGTGATGAACATGTCCTTAGGAGAAGCAATGAGCTTTGGGAAATTAACCAAGTGAMCATTTAATATAGAATGACCTCTGAACAGAGAGCCTTTATGCACTAGTCAATTGAAACCCCCGGCCCCCGGGGCTAGCGGGGCACTGAACGGGGACGTGATGCGTTTTTATAACGTGATGGGTTCTTTTAACAGCAAGATTGCCCCGGGGGGTCGGGATTTGGATGAATTGTTTTAAAAGCGGGGCAAAGAACGGGGATTTTAACGCGCGTTTGAACATGTATGAGGCTGGAAACTACAGGTCGGCCATCTTGAGAAATACCCTGAAAGCATTGGTATTCAACACTGTTTTTGCATTTGTTTATTTTTCCTTGCATGAAATAAACTTATTACACATTTATTTTCTCCGTCCAGTTAGCCCCATGTTGTACGCAGATGAGTACACAGGATTATACAAAAATTAACCCTGTGTATCACAGAAAGTTTGATTTGTTTTGTTATTTACTACTAGAACAAAATAGCGGGGAAACAGTAGCGGGGATTTTAAGGCAATGAATGTGCCCCGACTAGTACCCCGACTACACCACCTATTCCACGGTAGTCCCGGGAATCGGGGGGCGGGGGTTTCAATTGACTAGTGCATTAAATACAGATTTGACTGTATTAGTATTGAGAAAGCTATAGGTCGAATGGTGCTGCAACATATTGTTTCTATATTTTGTTACAGACAGCATTAGATAACAGRCTGCGTAAAGTTCGGGACAGCTGGAAGATGGTCAAACATTCAGATCTCTATGGCTTCCTGACTGGTCAAGAACACGAACTTCCACCAGGACTTGAYGCAGCCGTCAATGAAATGACGCGCAGTTTGAAGTCATTGTTTAGTGTGTTATTCTTAACGGGATCATTCAACGACGATGGCTCCAACGATCGAAATATCCAAACTATTTGCCAAATACGAGACAATATYAGAACACGACTTAGTGACTATGAAGATTATTTACAGGTCAAAGGAGAAAGAAATGTTACAATGACTGCATATCCTTTTTGATTTCCCTTTATAATCAAAATATAATMAAAACTTGAACTAATTGGTCACGTGACTTATACTAATTGGTCATGTGACTCACTAATAGGTCACGTGACTTACACAATAGGTCTCGTGACTTTGGACAAATGACAGTGAATGCGATGACACAAGCTGCAAACGTATACAATGTTTTTTTCCACTTGGCAATAAAAAAGATAAAGTGTAAATGTAGAGGATGCGTGAGAATAACCTACCTACTTTTCTGAAAAAAAACACTCTTTAATGATACTTATCAGATGATAGTCAGGATTTCTTTGCATTCTTGAATCAATTTTTGTTGTTTTATCTTTAACCATGGATTACTTACCTAGAGGACTATCCAGGACTTGTCCATTTTATYCATGTCGATCGCTCGGGTAACCATGTGACCGCTCCTTCTTTAAACACTTCACAAGAACAAGAACCCAACACACGTGATCCTAGTCACGTGATCAAGCAGAAAATTTGGGACGCTTGGAACCTAGTTAGCGTGTTTCTTTTACAAGGTTTGTATAAAGAAAAATATATTGTATCGCAGACTARTATTGTGCCATATTGAAAGGTAGTTGTGCCTTGTCAACGAARCGTTCAGAACAGTGAACAATTGCAATGGTGGCTGATCCCTTTGTCAAACCTAGGACAGACAAATACAATACGTATTTTTCCTGAGTTATCACGCTCGAAAGACACGGAACCTTATTCCTGCGGGAATGAAAGAGGGAATGGGCACTGGTGATTTTCCATTGGTGCGCAATTGTTTTAGTTTGGGGTTAACTGTGTTCATTGGCGGGGTAATGCCCATCACGACAATTAAACATGTCTATTTGTGGTTTGTCGTAACAGGAAACACATTCATTGCTCTGCGTGATGGTGACTTTCTGTACACGTATTGTCTATGGTTTGAGGATACATCCGGGAATGCAGCAACTGTACAGACTTGTTTACCAGTCCTTACTGGTTCACCACCTCCAGGAACGTTATCTGGAAGAGACAACTTTTACAAGTTAGTACTATTCAACTAAATATTAGATGAAGGTCAGATATAACGAACACGCGATATTGATGACTAACGATTGGTTGAGGGTGATTATGATATTAAAACTTGTTGGTTAGGGATGAGTATGATATGAAAGCTTGTTGGTTCGGGTTGAGTATGATATAACAATTGTTGGTTAGGGATGAGTGTGAAGTCGTATAATAAAGATGGTGACGAAACGTTCTTGTTAACAGGAATCTTATCAAGCAGTGTTTTCCAGCAGCACAAGAGGGATCTATTCGCTGCTATGAGATCCTGTGTATGCATGTGGGATTGGTGCCTATACGACTTGCCGCTAAACACATACGAAGACTTGGTAGTGCACTGTTTGAATCGTCTCTTGGAGCTAATTATCCAATCAGCCTCATTTATTAAGACATGTCCATGCACTAGCCAATCAACTGTCTCTTGGAACTCATTATCCAATCAGGCTCATTCAGTAACGGACATGGCATACACTAGCCAATCAACTGTCTCTTGGACTCATTATCCAATCAGCCTCATTCAGTAACGACATGGCATACACTAGCCAATCAACTGTCTCTTGGAACTCATTATCCAATCAGCCTCATTCAGTAACGACATGGCATACACTAGCCAATCAACTGTCTCTTGGAACTCATTATCCAATCAGCCTCATTCAGTAACGACATGGCATACACTAGCCAATCAACTGTCTCTTGGAACTCATTATCCAATCAGCCTCATTCAGTAACGACATGGCATACACTAGCCAATCAACTGTCTCTTGGAACTCATTATCCAATCAGCTCCAGCCTCCTTCAATGACGAAGTCGAAAGTTCACCAGCCAATCGACGCAGTAGTGGTTCCTATTGTATTTTTGCCAATACGAACAGCTGAAAGTTTTTTTGTCTTAAGGAAAATGTGTTTTAATCCTTACATATTTTATCAATGAACAAGAAAAAAAATCGTGTATCAGGCTGTGAAGAAGATAAAATCTTGGTCAAATGATTCAGTGAAATGAATGGCTTTTAATAATTGATGGCTTTCAAAAGCAATAACCATCTTGAGATATTATTGAGCTACAACTAATCGCCCGTCATCAGCTCCACAAATTATTGCTTATTGATGAAATCAAGTCTGCTTCCAAAGACGACGTCAAAATTATAGTTTTTATTGTAAAACATTGGATTATACAAAAGACAATTTGATTGTAATAGATATTATATATAAATTTGTTGTTTAAAAGTATAGCTATTTTAATATATTAAAGCTTGCGCAGGGAATTTCATGTTATTGCTAATTTCTGCAAATGTTTTTGGATGTGTTTTTCATAGTAGCTAATAACCTATACTTGTCCTACGTATAATTACAGTATAATTAGTACATGGCCTGAAGAGAACCACGCCACTCATAATAATCACACGGAGACCACTCAGAAACCTTGGAGCTAAATAAATTAGATGAAACAGCAGGGAATTCAGGCCAAAACGAACTAGAAGTCATTAGAACCAAGTAGGGGTCGTTGTCCAAGTGAAACACCTTGTATCATCTTGATTGATTCTATCTCCCTTCAATGAGAAATCTTGTCGGAATATCTTCAGCGGTATTTATACTTATATTCCACAAGTTAAGAAGCTTTTAAAGAGTTTGTTGTCTTATTATGTACGATAGCCCGTGTGCATTAGTCATCCATCTTGACATGACCACGTAAACGAAATATAGCCATGCAGCTGCAAATATCCATTGGCTTCTCGCTCTTGATTGGCTGAAGACCAGCAGCTGGCAATCCATAACTAATGATAAAGTGGATTAGAAAGAAAGAATTTCTTTGATATTAACTATTAATGAACACTAAGTACTCTGACAGGAACGTTTGTTGACTCTATGGAATTCACTTTTTGAAATATGTACCTTTTGTACAAAAATATTTGACTTTTAATCCAATTTCAGAAATAAGTGAAGTTTTACATCTCCTTATAGACTGTTTACATGATGGGTACTTTGTTTACTATAGAAGTGTTATATATAAACATTTAGTTCACTCAATTTGGTAGAATGATGAACTGGGGCTGTAGGCAAGACACTAAGGTTCTGTACACCTTAATCAGTTAACTGAGACATAACAATTAAGATAGATGCGAAAATTAAATATGTCATTTGCCATTGATTAAGCATAGGGCGGGCATTGACTTCTATTAAGTTTATTCAACAACATAAAGACGGCATTCCGGTACACARCAACACAGGGAACAGTAACAGGTTTGTACAACAAGCTCATCTTATTTCACAAGTGTAATTATGTGACCAAAACTGTTCTTTTTATCAGGCACAATTAGAGATGGATTCCAAAGGAAGTCCTCGTCGTTCTCCACCGCCATTAGTGTCGATGGCTCATGATAATACAAGGCGAGATTCTCTTGTTGGACTTCAAAGATTAGTGTACAACGCTCAAGTGCTGCCACAAGACAAGGAAGACGTCAAAACTGCTCTAGATGATGAGTCGCCCGTCAAGGAACAAGGTATGTCAACAATGATTATAATTATAGTCTCTGAAAAAGGTGCGAATTGTTTGAGAACTAGATTAGCAGTTAATCCTGTTTAAAAGAGACTCTTATGAACAACCGTTTTGCTTGTTCAGTTCTCGTAATATTGCCTCATAATTCTGCAGACAAATTACATGCCAGCCCTTAACATGATAACAGGAAATGTCTTTCAGTTTTTTWATACAAACAACAATTCGCGCAACACGAAGCACGTTTTTATTTTGTTAAAGATTTCGTGAGTTTAGTTTAGAATGACAATAGATAGTCATCGCCTTTGCTTGGTGAGTCTTTATTCAAAACTGAATTTAAATGATTTATGATGTTATTATGTCAACAGTCCCAGCATGGCTCCCATTGTAACACTTACAACATAACAATAATGAATAGCGAGCCACCTTAAGTGCGTGTTTTTGTATCAAAGAAGTATAAAACAGATTCAGACTTTTTCTCTCGGAGACTGGTCGTGTTTATGAAGCTAAACAATAAAACTGCGCTACAAAAGCAAATGACGTTCCTAATCTGTGGGCTCGCCAATCAAGATCACATGTGAGGCATGATCAAGTCTACAACTATAGGGCATTGAAAGACCATAAGACCACCCTTAAACTATAACGATTAGTTCAGTACAGATTGGTACTCTCATCACGATGCTCGTCCGTTCTATAGCCGAACTTGCCGTGATACGAAAGGCATCATTGTAATATTAAGTAGACTTTCCTTGTCCAATAGCAAAGTYTAATACAGGAAAAACGAAGTTTTACTTCGGTATTGGACAAAATCCTGGGCACCCAGCCTGCTAACGCAGCAGCAGATGTGGGAAATTGATGGCGCCGACAAATACMGACCCTCGGGCCGCTCAGAAATAATCTCGCTCRATCKTCGCTCTAGTTCATCTCCAAATCTTCCCCYCTYTCTAAATCAATTCCTCATGCGCATTTTATCTCTTTCAGTATCAGTTCTGACGTCACACCGTGACGTGCGTGAAAACGAGTCAGCGCATCTACAGCGTCGATTGTCTAGTCCCAGGCCTAAGCGTTGCAGAACGTCCTTCACGCCAGCGCAGTTGGAACGCTTAGAAGATGAGTTTCGTCTTGATATGTACGTAGTGGGGTTAAAAAGAATGAAACTTGCCAACGAACTGTTACTTAGTGAACGCCAAGTTAAAGTATGGTTTCAAAATCGCAGAATGAAATATAAACGCGAACGCGCGAAATTACGTCTTCCGATGGATGGTAATAATTAATTGAATCAAGTATAAAGGTGTAATATACATAGGTTTATTTCATAGATAAAATCATGTTATAAATGTACTAATCTGGATAATAAGACTGCATAGCAGTGCCTACTTGACTGTAATTTTTTCTAATGGCACAGAATAGAAAGCCGCCGTGCGTCCGTCCGCCCTCTTCAAAAAACCTGTAAATTCCTTCAGAGGCAGTTCAAGAAATTTTCCAGGGGGCCTTCCGTGTTCCAAATGAATAAATGATKACACTTTTACGATAAACTATAATATTCTAATTGAACACCCCCGGATCCGCGCTTTCGTGTCAGAAATAGAGACGCAATATAGAAGTGATTTTTTTTCCTTGAAAAGCACTATTTTCTGGTATTTTAAACTTCAATCACCGCAAAGTTGCCACTGCTTTGCAGTCTATTTTCAAAATAAATACTAAATACAGCACAATGGTGTATGTATTCTACTTTTTACATCTTCTCTGTCGAACCAATAAAAATCTTCTGTGCCTTTGAGGCTATAATTCAAAGAAAGTCGATGCGTGGTCTGTATTGGAGAGTCATCACTGTTCCTTCCTGGAAAATAAAGTATTGTTAACTGTTTTATACACCGTCGGTTTAACTTCCTCTTCTTAAAAATTAAAGAAAAAGGATAAAGGCTTGTACCAAGTCGCTTCATTCACTTTTTTATTGTTCACAGTAGCAAAAATAGAGTAGAAATTGTGTACATATCTAAAGCGACTGGATATATGTAGACCTGTMTTGTAATATGATGGTAGAATACTCTTTTGAAATAAAGGAAAAACAAACCAGCCAGCTATGTTCAAATATATCACTTTTAGTTGTATAAAATGTTCTGTTGCAGTATTTTGGTATATGTCCACTTACTCCGTGTCCTTCCCCCCAACTTTTTCTCCTTAAAAAGGAGTTCATGCAGCCTAGTCCCCAGGCATTCCCCGTTTCTTTCGTTGTAATGACACCACAAAGCTGGCGCATAACCACTCGTCCCAAGACTTCCCAACCCAGAATAGAACGCCTGGGGACTAGGCTGTAGATCATGGTATATTAATGTATTTTTTAATGAACTTACTTTTACTCGCCATCTTGTCATATATATGAACTCAAGTGTGTGGTCTTTGCCCATAATTTCTCCATTACACAATATTTCAACCTGGAAGTCAAATATGATTGAAATCATACACAAATTAAGTCATTATTTACAATAGCAGATAAAATGCTAAATCCTTATGCATAAAGCCACCATATTCCTTTTACTTCAAAGCTTTAAAGCTTCCAAGTGGTCAGGGTTTGTGGTGTTTTTTCTATTGTTTAAAGTCTGTTACCGTAACAACCTACCTGATCTGCTGCATTTAAGCTTAACTTCAACTTTAAGTATTTCTTGACATGAGCTATTGTCATTTGTGACGAGCAACGAATGTATCTCCGGACTAATTGTTTAATAGGGACCTCGCCATCGGAATCACTACAAAACAACAATAATAAACCTTGTTTCCCATATGTTCACCATATTGAAAATGAGAAAAAACAGTAGCTCAAATACTAAAGCATGAAAAGAAATTCATGATGTTGTGTCCCAAACATATCCTACAATGCATTGCATATACACCCTTTTAATAAGTCCTGAGGTATTGCGTTCTCYGCACTTGACATCAAATTTATTCTTTTGAATTCCTTTTGTATTGTAAATATTTCAGAAGAATAAATTTGACGTAAAGTGCGGAGAAAAAAATACCTCGGGACTTAAAAGGGTGTATATGGTAAATGATGTATTGCTCCCTAGAAAATTGGTCACATTGGTAGTAACGGCTGATACTTTCACGTTCACTCTTAGTAATGAAAAATATATATTTAGTGTTATATTCATAGTTATAAGCCACTCAGAAATAAACATAGAACTTGCAAATAATTGTTCTTGGCACRCTCTTCATTGCCCCAAAGCGTGATGGGTAATACACAGGAATMCCAAAACTCAAGACTTAGTTAAACAWATGACTGTACACTACATACCTACAGCACTCRAGRCATACACAGATTTGTGGTTCATCCCTGTGATAGTTGTTAAATGAGATAGTTGTTCTGTACATGGTATCAACTGAGCTTCTTACAGGGGATTCTCTGTCGGATATAACTGATGATTGCTCCTCTATTTTTTTCTTTTTTCTGTTGAATTCTCTTTCGCGTAGTTCTTCATCTAAGTGCAATTCATTRGTATGATCAAATTTGTTAATAATTAATCATGAAAAAGATTGATACTGATGAATTATACTGTAATATGATCCAAAGAATAAAGTTATAAGTATACTTCTCATACTTTGCTGTAATCCAGGTATTAATTTATAAATAACGTCTTCAAGCATCTGGTCTGCCCTGCAAAATTAAGGCAATACATTATTAAACTCCACAAGTGGTTATTACAATTATATAGTTTTGAAACATGGGTAGCCTCTAAAGCTTCCACCAAAAYAATCAACAGCTAATAAGGTTTAGTTATCAACTAACTAACAATWCACTGGGACATGAACACAATGCCAGAAAGAAAGTTGTCTTAAAATTTTTTATATGTCACTGAATTCTTAGTTAATTGATAACTAAATCTTATTATTTGCTAATTAGTTAACAACAACAACAACAACAACAACAACAGTTTTATATATTAAATCACTCTAATGCACAACTGAAGTCAGCCCTCGCAGTTAAGAATTGGTTCACACTTAGTGGCATACTCTAACATGTGAGAATTGTGTTTGACAAAAAGTGTACCTTAACATTTCCATGGGATTAGTTTCATGGATGATAATATTGCAAGTAGGGCATTCATTTATCTCCTTCTGGCTCAAGTGTTTTACGATACAACTTCTGCAAACTAAAACACAATAATTCATTCATAGTTGAACCATTAATATGCTTAATAACTAGATACCAATCAATGTGAGGAATTGTCAATCAGACAAATTATACTGGAGATTCTGTCACAATACAAAATTTCCGGTGGGATACTAGTAAGTAGTCAAATCAATGTTCTTTAAGAATATATTATAAAGCTATAACTGGTGCTATCATTTGCTTAATTTAATAGCTGTATAACAGGTATTGGGTGACATAACAGTGGATACAGGTAGTGTACWTATGATATATGTACCTTAATTATTAATCCATTTAAGCGCTCATAACACAGTCCATAATATGATTGTTCGCCTCAAATGAGTATTACTAAGTGAAATAGTTTTACRATTGTTACTATACTTACAAGTATGCAGGCACTCAGTTATACATGTAGGTTTTATCATGTACCCTCTGCATAATCTACATGTTAATAGTGGATTTATATCCCCAGCATATATTTTTCTTTGTCTTGTCGACTGAAATAAGTTGATAGGTTAATAGAACTTGTACAACAAATATAAAGCTGGCAAAAATATGAGTTTTCAAAAGACATCTGTTACTTGAAAAAAAAATGTTATGTTTAACTTGATCCGCTTAGACTTATGATAAACGCAAATTGAATTATTGTTCAGTGTATTGCTCTAAATATACCTTCACAATGTTTCAGCATTCCACATGTATATAATAAAAAAAGAAAACTTTAATATTCATTGGATTTAATGATGAAATCTTTTAATGAAAATTTCCAAAGATATTTAAAGATACATTTTTAAAAGCAAACAAAACCTGATCATAGAGTGTTTGTCTTGTCAATATCAAAGAATGGTGAGATAAAACACGGCACAAGACAGTCCTTTATCCCTGACTATAGTATTCTCATTGACAAAAAGAAACTCAATCTTTCAATATAGCTTACAACATCTTAATCATGTTATAGCCAACTAGCGGATTTCTCACTTCAGAAAAGAGTAAATAAACCACTGAAATCAGCTGTGCTTTTRGTGCACTGTGTATTTGAGAGTGAGTTTACATGTTATCGACATAAAAATACAACACTTAATCGTCTCGCAAACCTAATAAATTAACGAGATATTTTGAATCTGTTTGCTTCAATGCTCCAATTACCTGTAAAATTGCCATGTTACTTTGGTTCTCCTGAGGCTGACAGCCCTAGAATGTCGTTTTTCCGATACACAAATCCATATGCTACAGAACAACAAGGAACAACAGTCGCTTGGGAGTATGGGTACTAAGTGRCCGTTAGGGACTGGGTACAACATCARGAAACCAGCTGCGGTTTTTAAAAAATTCTTCATTTTTAACCCCAAAAGTAAGTRATAGTCATRCATTTGTCATCTTGTGACGGCAAAACGAACTGTACATTAAAGAATGACACTAATGCGATACATCTCGTCTTTGAAGGTAAAGTATAGTGTCATTTTTCACGTGTAATACGTATGTATTAATATTACAGAAAAAATCTTTTTTATTTTGATGAACAAAGTTTGAAGAATAAGCTGTTGACACATATGTTTGTTAAATCTAAATMTATCCTTGTTGTTGCAGTTGTTGTTGCAATTCTTGTATAATTTGTTGCTCTTTTATGCAGTGTTATTTTTGATGAATTTGCTGTCCTTGGAAACTTTTAACATTTAGTATCATCATAATTTGAACTAATCATCAAACTGYAGTATGTGAAATATTTAAATAATCTATAAACAAATAATATAGTTTATTATCTCTTTCAAAAGTTCTGAACATCTTTATCAAATGGAAAAAAAATAATACAAATACATCAAATATACATAGCAAAACATATCATATAATTCAATATACTAATGCCTTGTCCTCTCCCCTTTTTCACTTCTGATCTCTATCCCCCCTCCCTCCCCCCCCC